GTTCTAATTAAAGAATACAAAATACTATCAGGCTCTTTAAAAATAGCTTATACGGCCTCAATACGGACATCCAAATTAACATGCATCCTAATATATAATTTATTTTTGGACATATGATATACAATCAACTATAAATGTGCAATAAAAATAAAAATTTAAAGTATCTTGTAAATTTGTATGCGAAGGGTAATTATCAGTATAGTAGTAAAATTATAACTTTCTAATTATAAAAATTATAATATTCTCTGTTTCTTTTAACAAAAAGAAGTTCACTGACCGTATCAGATTTAAGCCTGTTTCTGTCATCTGTTATTTGCTTACCTGCATCACTAAAAAGGCGTTCGCTAGAAACGGAAGTTGCAGGAATTTCTAAATATTTTTGAGATATCTTAAAAAGAATAGGAAAATCTTTCTTATTATCTTTCCACCATTTAAATGGATCTTTATTACTATTAGCTTGTGATGTCCGAAATCAAAGATAACAATCAATTTCATCATCATCATTAATCTCCTCTTCTTCTTCTTCAAACAGACGTGATTTAAAATTGCTAATTGTTTTTTCTTTAGGCTCTTTAAAATGATATCTATTTTTATTCCCAGACTCTCTATTTAGAAGTTCATCATTTTTAAAAAGAGTGTATTCTGATCTTAATAAAGTGATTGTTCTTTCTTTTTCTTCTTCTGGCCATCTTTTCATTTTTTTGAACCTAGGGTCTAAAATACTTGCAAGTAAAACTGAATTCGGTGGAGAATCAAAATAATTATAAAGAGCATCATAAATTGCATTCTTGACCAAATTAATAGTTTTAGTAAAATTCGGTCTATTAATACTACTATCAGTTTTCTCAGTCTCCTCCTCAGTGTCTTCTTCCGCTTCTTCTTCAGTCTCTTCTTCTTGACTCGATTCTTCTCCTATTGACTCAGATTCTAATAATTAATCATTTTTAAATTAGTATAATTTCATATTGCTTAATAAAATAATATTCTTTTATAATTAAAATCCGAGTATAAAACTATGTACAGTATCATATAAAAATTAATTATACAAGATTTTCTTTGGATTTATTGATCAGGGAGTGATCAGAATAGTTGATCAGGATTATTTGTTATTTTTAATATTTATTTTAATAGTAAAGAATAATTTGGATGTTTTTGGATGTCAAGAGCAAATCGTTTTACTTTTTTCAATTATTTTAGTGTAAATATATTTTTAAACATGTTTATAACAATGTTATATTGAAAATTTTTAATATTAATATTTAGATTTCAAGTTGGCTCTTTACAAAAATTCTGTTTCGTATTGTAACTATTTAAAAAAAAGTGCAAATAAAAAATTCAATACAAGAATTTAAAAATTTTTAACGTAACTTTGTTAAAATGTATTTAAGAATAGATTTATGCAAAATAATTGAAAAAAGTAAAGCGATTCGCTCTAGACATTTAAAAATATTAAAATATATAAAAAGTAATAAATAATTCCGAGATCACTATTCTGATCAAGAAATTCAAAAAAACTTAAAATAATTAATTTTTATATAATACACAGTTTTGATTTACATAGTTGACCGCTTATCCCAACTATACATAGTATTATCGCTGTTTTCAAATTAGTGCAATAAGTGAATTCTGTAAATCCTGCATTTACAATTGTTTAACAATGGTAATATGCAGGATTCATAGGATTCACAGAATTTGCTTATCGCACTAATTCGAAAACAGTGATAAATAGTATATAGTGTACAATATATAAAATTTAATACATATATTACTAACTTAAAGAGTGTAATAATAAAAAATAAAAATATACCTTCAGCATCGATTACTACATAATCATATTTTAAAGCTTGAATAGTAGGATATATTAGTGATAATGTGCAGTACTTTTGGCCACCAAGCCACTCTGTTGCTTCTTCAATTGGTTTAAAAAGATCAATTAAATGATCGAGCAGGTCCCATTCCCAATATTTTAAGAATCGCTTTTTTAATATTTCATAATCTTTTTTTGCTTCTTTACTAGTTTCTAATGAAAGTTTAAAAATAACGTGTTGTATAGGACCTTTTAATTCTTTTAAGCGTTTCCAAGAAGCCAAAGAAGACCCCCACCGAGTATTATATTCATTAATAGTTTGTAAGATTTTTAAAGGAGTATAAGTTGTTGCTTCATCTATTTCCGAATTTAGATTAGATAAATCTTGGTCGGTTGAAGCTGAACTATCTTGTACATTTTGATTAACTTCAATATCCTCATATCTTAATAATAGTTGGCGTTGCGCTTCTTCTAATTTTTCATTTTGTTTAGGCGAATTGAAAAAATTATTTAATATTTTATATCTTTTTATATATAGTTTAATTTTCTTAAGAGCTTTAGTTATACACAATTGGAGGGTATGTGCTGAGCATGGTACACGTTCAACACCTTCC